AGCTGCAAAGAAGGAAGTCTGGAAGGTACCATCTGAATTCCTAACTCAGATTTGCCCTAATAGGAAGTGGGGAGGAGATGATCAAAGAGGATTTCAGCCTTAACTATATTTTGCCCTTTTGGATGAAAAATGCATTTATGTACTATGTAGTAAAAATTAATTTTATGGTTAACAAAACCATGTTGAAGAAATAAATGTCCTTCCCCTTTTGTGAATCAAAGGATAAATAAAGGATGCTTCTTAGTTTCCCCCCCCAGGACCGAAGGCATAGATTTTTTGTTTTCTATTCAAACAAGTTATACGAGAAACGTGTTCAATTCACCTTTCTTGAGTATATGAGCTATTGAATGCTTATGAATTTCCAATGCAGCATTGTTTCACAAAGTGGGGAGTTGACACAAGATAATTGTAAAGGGTACATGATTGAACATCTTTAAATTACGTGGTTTTTGTCTAATATACTAGGAAAAATTGTATCCTGCATCTCAAAGAAAAACAGATAAAAGTGGTATTTAAGTTTAGGAAAGAAGTATAATAAGTAAATAATAGTGCAGGTGCTACTGAGATATGGCAGAAGGCATAGGAATGATAAGCCAATGAATGCAGTTTGAGAACAATGCACACAGGCGGCTGCCTCCTACCTAGCGTGGATTGATGCGGTGTGACACATTTCTAAGTTGGCTTCTGCAAATACATTCTTATATCTTCATGTGAAGCGTTCTGTACTATGGGAGAAAAAAGGAGTGGGGGTAAAAATCAGGATCCTCATGGAACTGCAAATTGAACTGAATGAGAAAGTTTGTGTAGCTGATCCCTACACCAGCCTCAGTAACCTGCCCAGACCTTCCTATCCTACTGTGCATATTTTCATTTCAGTACTTAGGAATATTCGCATGAGTGAAAATTGGCTTATCTAAAGTTAAGGTGCTTCTGCCCAAACCCTGAAGGTTCTGTGATGTTATTTTCACAGAACCTGAGCTAAGATGATATATTTTGGTTTCACCGGGCATGGAGAGGAGAATAAAAGTATGACAGACCTCTATGGTTTTGTCTGCCACCTCCTCCGGGGCTGAGAGCTAGGAACATGCCCTCCCACCCCCAACCCCTTCTGCTTTGTTCTCCGCAAGTTGCTATGTTCTTCTAAAATCACTTGCTCAGACTTCACGAGACGTTATTCTAGGGATGGCTTCCAGACATTTGGAATTAACGGCTCAAGGTAGTCTTACTCTAATGGCTGGAACTCGAAGAGGAAAACCTTGAGCAGCTGTTTTTCTTGACATAGAGAAAGCCAGTGTTCAGGGAGAGGGAATGATGAAGCTCACAAGAAAAGAGTAAAAAATGGCAATTAGGCCTTAACTAGGGCCTAAGTTATTCTGTCCTTAGGTTCACTGACCCCTTTTAAGTTTCCTTATGACCCAATGTGTTTAAGCTAATTGGACTTGAGTTTCTTATGCCAAGGACCAGAACATTCCCAACAAAGACAGAAAGCACTTAAAACCTATTTCAAATTGCAAAGAGGGGCTATTTAGAGTGGAATGTTCAATGTATAAAATGCACAACCTCAAAGATTTTTATGCTAGGAAATCATGCACAGTTGGCCTTTTGCTGTGTTTTGAGGGTTTTTTTTTGTTTGTTTACTTTTCCAGCAATATACACTGAACTTAGGAAAGCTGTAGATTTTTAATTAAAAAATAAAAAGGTGAAGTTGAGCATTTATTAATGAGCCCTTGCAGCAGGTCAAGCACCTGACATGAATTCTCCTACTTGTGACTCGTAACAACATTTTGAGGTGAGTCCAGCCATTGTCTTAAAGCACAGGCATAGAAGTAAGTGTCGATGGAGGGTTCAAGTCCAGCTCCAGCTAATTTCTGAGGCTGGTATGCTCTAACTGCGTGTTGTGCAGGCTGTCAAGAACCCTTCAAGATCTCTTCTGTTGTTGGGCGCCTGGGTGGCTCAGTTGGTTAAGCGACTGCCTTCGGCTCAGGTCATGATCCTGGAGTCCCGGGATCGAGTCCCGCATCGGGCTCCCTGCTCGGCAGGGAGTCTGCTTCTCCCTCTGACCCTCTTCCCTCTCGTGCTCTCTATCTCGCATTCTCTCTCTCTCAAATAAATAAATAAAATCTTTAAAAAAAGAAAAAAAAGATCTCTTCTGTTGTTATATTTAAAAGATGTTAACCGGGGCACCCGGGAGGCTCAGTCGGTTAAGCATCTGCCTTGGGCTCAGGTCATGATCCCAGGGTCCTGGGATGGAGCCCTGCCCCACATCACATCAGGCTCCCTGCTCAGTGGGGAGCCTGCTTCCCCCTCTCCTCCCCGCTTGTGCTCTCTCTTCCTGTCTCTGTCACTATCTCTGTCTCTCTCAGATAAATAAATAAAAATCTTTAAAAGATGTGAACAATAATGGTACTAGCATTCGACTCTATCTCATAAAGGTTGTGGTGTTAAAATAAGATTCAAACAAATACTGAAGCACCAGCAACTGTAGCTTTGACCTGCAGGCTTTAGTCCATCCCTTTACTGCCATTCTCTCCCCTCCCGGTAAAAGAAAAGGGACCAGGTATACTCATCCAACAGTCACATGTGTGAGTAAGGGATGTTTGTCCTTATAAAAAACAAACCGGGGGTGGAGGGATGGGTTAGCCCGGTGATGGGTGTAAAGGAGGGCACGTACTGCATGGAGCACTGGGTGTTATACACAAACAATGAATCATGGAACACTACATCAAAAACTAATGATGTAATGTATGGTGACTAACATGACAGGATAAAAAATAAATAACCACACACAAAAAAAAAATAAAAAACAGGCTCCCCTGAAATAAGGAGTGAAAACTCTGGGTTCTGAGCCTTGGTTTCCTCCAATGTAAGGCAACTTGAACATAGGCTCAAATCCTAATTTTATGATTCTATGAAGACTGAACTCTTCTGAGGTAGATGGGCTCCTGTCCAAACTATATTTCCTTGAATGATATAATCAGAACAGTCAGCAAGGTCCTCCACATATGTGCAGCCTCCAACTGACTGAGAACTGAGACTGTGAACAGTGGCAGCACGCACTATAAACTGCCATAATTTGGATTACAAAACTGCCAGTCAGGAAGGTTGTCCAGCCACGCCCGGTACTGCTGCTCTGGGAACACACTATGTTTCTACAAAGCTTATTTCAGATGCTACCACACAGGGGTTAGGACTAAAAGACAGCATAGAAAACAGTAAACATGTGGTACTCAGGGTGTAAAGACAAAGGGAATGCAGGAATGGGTTCTGAAGGTCGTTTTGTTTGCAGCCTAACACAACACACATTATCTCATCATGACTTTGGGTCAAGAGTCTGCATGGCTTAGGTGGTTGGAAGCAGTGTTAGAAGGCCCAGGGAGTCTTCTGAGGCATCCTATGAGTTCTTGCTAGGTTTCTCCTCAGCGGTCCAGATCTCCAGGAAATGGACCAATTCACCCATGTGCCCACGCTCCTGAGGTCTTCAGCCTTGCAACAATGTCAAGCCCTTCAAAACCAAGCCCTGGGATTTCCTCAAAGCAGTTTTGTCACAAGCACTTTCTAAGCATCTTTCTGGATTGGGTTTATTCAGCTTGTTTAATTAAAAGGGATTTGTGGCCATTTGTTAGACAATAGGAAATTTAATGTTTTTTTAAAAACATATACAATATCTGTATAACCATGGGATGCATGAGGTGGTGATTGTAAAAAGAAACCTACAATTTAGAAAGGAAAAGATACATTTAACTAAATAAAAAGAAAATAATTGCAAAACATCACTGATAAAGGTTGAATATCCCTAATGTACAAAAACTATACATTATACAAGAACAACCCAATTTTAAAAAGTAGACAAAGCAAATAAAGGGACAGTTTATGGAAGAAATATAAATTGCAACTATCAGGAAATAATGTTCAACCTTGGTACATGTTAGGAAAATTAAAATTGAAGTAATGAGACATATTTGATACTTGGGGAAAAATTTTAAAGGTTATCATACACAGGAGAAATTATGTGGAAAGAATCACATATCTCTCTGGGAAAATGCAAATTGCTATAACATTTTTAGAAAGTAATCTGGAAATATTAACATTTAAAGTGAACATACACTTGAACTAAGCAACCATATATTTAAAAGTCTAAAGAAATAAAATGAATATGTATATACGTGTGTGAAAGGATGTTTATTTTAGCACTATTACAAGAAAAAAGCAATTTGAATATCCCTCAATAGAGCAATGCATTCATATTATAGACTACCTTGTTAAAAAGGTAGTTTTTAACAAGGTAGTCTATTTTAACTACCTGTTAAAAATGAGCTAACATCACAAGAAAAGATCACTAACCCTTATGACAACTATAGATGCAAAAATCCTCAACACAATACTGGCAAGCAGAATTCAGTAACATGTAAAAAGTATAAACCACTGACGAATGGATTTTTCCCAGGAATGCGAGATCAACATATGATAATCAACTAATGTAATACATATTAATAAATGACAAAGCAATATGATCCTCTCACTAGACACATAAGAAACATTTCACAAAATCCAACAGTCTTACATGATAAACACTCAACAAACTAGGAATAGACAGGACCCTCCTCAACCTGATCAAAAGGATCTATGAAAAACATATAGTAAAACTTCATGCTTATTGGTGAAAGAAAAAGCTTTCCCCCTAAGATCAGGAACAAATCAGGGATGTTCATTCTTGCTACTTCTATTCAACATTGTACTGAAAGTTCTAACTAGGATAATTAGGCAGGAAAAAGAAGTAAAAGGATCCAGATTGGAAAGGAAGAAATAAAACTGTATTTGTAGTTGACATTTTCTGGTATATAGAAAATCCTAAGGAATCCAGACCAAAAACAAACAAACAAACAAACAAACTAGTAACACTAATGAACCAGTTCAGCAAGGCTGCAGGATATAATATCAATATACAAAAGTCAACTGAATGAAACTTTCAAAAAATAAAATTGAGGTTCGGCGTGCCACTTCCGGCGCCGAGGTGGGCAGGTGGGGCGGGGTGGCGGTTAGGTGAGGCGTGCCATGAGGCCTCAGGCGCCTCTGCTGCCAACCGTGAGCGAGCTGTCAGCGCGTGCGCTCCGACTATAGCTGTGTCAGTGTGTTATGATGCCGTCTCGTACCAACCTGGCTACTGGAATCCCCAGTAGTAAAGTGAAATACTCAAGGCTCTCCAGCACAGACGATGGCTACATTGACCTTCAGTTTAAGAAGAGCCCTCCTAAGATCCCATATAAGGCCATTGCGCTTGCTACAGTGCTGTTTTTCATTGGCGCCTTTCTCATAATCATAGACTCCCTTCTGCCGGCTGGCTATATCAGCAAAGGGGAGGCAGACCGGGCTGTTCCCGTCCTGATCATTGGCATCCTGGTGTTCCTGCCAGGATTTTACCACCTTCGCATCGCCTACTATGCATCCAAAGGCTACCGGGGTTACTCCTACGATGACATTCCAGATTTTGATGACTAGCACCAACCCTCAACCCTGAGGAGAAGAGTCACAGATGGGACTGAGACCAGCTTTAAGATATTGAGCAGAAACTGGCTAAGGGCTAAGGAGTTCTGCAGTTTGCAGATGTTAAACAAAAGAATAGCCATCCTCAAGATGTCAACTGAGCTTACAGTTACAAATTAACTAATTAGGACATGCTCTTTTTTCATCTCCTGGCTCTGGCAAAAGCTGACAAGTTTTTCCACACGAATATGTAACTTGGAAGAGTAGCGGTGTAAATGGTGTGGGAAAGCAGGAGGTCATCCTGTAGTGGAGAGTGTTACTGCTGCCACCGTTTTTAGAGTTCAGCATTTCTTTTAAATAGTCCTCATTGTCAGTTCTGGCAGCAAATGGAAAAATTTAGTATGTCAAATTTCATATTACTCGTAATTTATCTTGAAAACATCTAAGTATCTGACCCCTACACTCATCTCTCTCTTTGTGTGCTAGTGGAAGACCTTGGCAAATCAAATGTCAGTGTGGGTGCATCTGTAATATTTTTTACTTGCTTTCTTATTAACAGCAGCCAGGACTTTTTTAAATCTCAGAGCAAGTTTCCGGAAGGTAAACACCTCTGTTCACCAATCCTTGGTCGGCTTTGATTTGGTCCACCAGTAAGTTGGCCAACATAATTTGGATTATTCTGTTCTTCGTAGAGCAAGATGTTCTGTATATTGTGCCTTTAAGGACTGGACTTTGGCTGTTTCCTAAGGAAAAAATGTAGATAAGTGATTGTTATTTAGAGAGTATAAACCTGTTGTTAGCACCTTGCATTATGATGTCATTCTGCTGAAGACTGCAAGACTCAACCTGGATCCCTAGATGGACTAGACTGCCTTAGTTTGATTCTGTTTCCTAGGTTGCACAAAGTGACATATTCAAAAGAAATTAAAATGCCAAAATCTAAACCTAAAAAAAAAATAAAAATAAATAAAATTGAATTTCACTTATGATAGAACCAAAAAGAATATTTAGGAATAAATTTAACAAAAAAGTGTAAAACTTGTACACTGAAAACCACAAAACACTGTAAAAAGAACTAAATAAATTTTTAAAAAGATATCCTATGTTCCTGGATTGAGAGTCTTAAAATTGTTAAAATGGCAAAACTTCCCAAACTGATCTACAGATTCAACACAATCCCTATCAAAACTCCACATACCTCTTTTTTATTTTTTAATTTATTTTTAATTAACATATAATGTATTATTTGTTTCAGGGGTATAGGTCTGTGCTTCATCAGTCATATATAGTACCCAGTGCTCCTTATAACACATAGCCTCCCCAGTGTCCATCACCCAAGTATCTCATCCCCCCAGCCCCCTCCACTCCAGCAACCCTCAGGATGCTTCCTAAGATTAAGAGTGTCTTATGGTTTGTCTCCCTCTCTGGTTTCATCTTGTTTCATTTTTCCCTCCTTTCCCCTATGACCCTCTGTCTTATTTCTCAAAATCCTCATATCAGTGAGATCATATGATAATTGTCTTTCTCTGAATGACTTATTTCGCTTAGCATAATACCCTCTAG